AGAGTGTGTGTGTGTGTGTGTGTGTGTGTGTGTGAGAGAGAGAGAGAGAGAGAGAGAGGGAGAAATGTCAACAACGTTAAGACAAATATTATACTGTGAGTTATACGTATATTTAATTTCTTAAGTTGTTTTTAATTAACATTTGTGCATTATACATATACTGTGTTTTTAGATGTTGTACATTAAATTTAAAATTTTATTTAATGGAGTATAAAATTACACTTTATTTACAATTCAGTAGGTTCGATTAGTTCATATTTGCTGGTAACTCCTCCAAAACTTTTTAATTCTTCGACCAAATCTCGAACGTCTATTTTGCGAGAAACTACCATTGTCCGCTGATTTTTAGGTCCATAACTGTGTGATTTTAAGCCCAATTGTCTTGCAACTCTAGAATTGTTCAAATGTTCATTTAATTGCATGAAATTCAATAAACTCAACACTTTCACATTATAGATATACTCACTGATGGATAACCGCTCTCTCGTCGTTAGTAAAATCCGCCGAGAATACAATATCATCTTTCATATCACCTGCAAGATACTTTCTCATAATGTTTTTAGATTTATTTTTTAAGTCAAGCGTTGAACAGAAATTCGATTTTAAACCTAATCCTTCTCTACTAATTTGTTGCTTAATTCTGGAACGATAATACGATCATTGTATATTCAATTATTTACTGATTAAAGTTACTATACTTACGTGATCGGTTCAATGATTCCTTGTTGTGATTTTCCAAGACCGCCACCTGTCCAACCCATTAACTTCATTAACTTTTTACCGATATTGTCGTCAGAAATTGAATCATCGTTTACTGCATCTTTTAACATTGTTGTAGTGGTTACATTCGTACCCATACCTAGATGGTGTTTAATCTAAATAATAAAAATCATGTGAAATTCTGACGTATGTATGGTAAATTGTCAAGTAGAAAACAATGCTCTAGCAAACCTTAATTGTATAGTAGTATCTCTTTAATTTTTGTAAACCAATGATAGATGCCTGTTTTTTTGCTAACTTCTGATTAGAACTTATAGCCTCTACTAATAATTTCGAATTAACGAAAATGCTGCACTTGCTACAAGCAAGACAAATTATTTGGTCATATGTTTAAAAATACAGGATGATAGTACCTACCAAGTACGATCTGTGTTATCAAATTTCCATTCTAAATTTCCACCTGATGCATTTATCGCGCAAGCAAGCGAATTTTGCGGTATATCGTCTGATCTTTCAATTAAAACGATATCACCGAATGGAAGTTCCTGCAATTTTCTTCGTTTAACAGATACTTTATTACTTCTTAAATCTACAGTTGAATCGCTGCTTAAATCTACGGATGGATCCACAGTATTTGTTTCGACTTGTGCCTTAGTGGTAGATATTATGGCAGGTTGTCCTAAACGATACATAGAACATGGTATATATATACATATATTATATATATATATATAAAAAAGAAAAGACTAGTTGATTAAATTTGGTACAAAATCCTTTAGTTAATAGAGAAACTCACAGCTCTATAATGTACCTTTAACCTTTAGACTGGCTGCTCTGGAAGCTCTAACAAATGTTCTTTGCAATTTAGTTTTCTGTTTCTGCCTGTAATCATCAGAAATATCTTGACCTAAATTAGTTATAATCTGCATTGTTTCGTCTGGATACCTAGAATATAGATATTAGAATCATTGAATTTTGTGAAAACATTGTATCAGGCTAACTACTTCAACACATACAATATGAATTAATAAAAAAAAATAGGTATGTTACTCACTTGCAACCAAGCAGTTCGACATTTGCAAATACTTGAGCTAAACAGACAAGTTCGTCCTCTGGAAATTTATCTTTATGAGCTAATAAAAATTTTCGTCTCAGTTCCCAGTGGTCATCGCATTCATGTTCCATTTTGTGTGCTTCTACATCCCAATTTTGTTCAAAGCTCATCCTCATCAAGATATTTTCTTTCTTGGTAAATTAATACCTTGATTCGTGTCGTTTACTATCTACGAAAACATAACCTTTATAAAAAAGTAAACTTTATCTATGTCGATCAATTTTGTCATAAATCTATTCGAACTGTTTTCCTTTTCAGTACTGTATATTATATAAAATTTATGTAAGAAAAGACAATGCAAAGTTTCATTAGACACAAGGATTATTTATATTTACACGTAGAAGTAAATTAAATTTTGGAGTCGAAGTACACTTGGAATGCTTGCCCTTATACAACACAGTGTATATGTACATATAGGTAGTAATGGGTCCTACTTCTGCACACTTCCAGGCTACAGTTTGATCCATTAGGGAGGGTCAATATGGAAATTTCCTTTGCTGTGATTGGCTGACAATTCACTGTTGTGACAATATCCACTGTGGATTAGATGCGCAGTAAAATGGTGGGACTGCACGCGCGTCCTTAAGGAGTAAGAAAAGTATGCAGGAATAGGTCCCATTTCTGTACTTGAGTTATTTATGGCCACTGATTTGTATAGTATGTATGTACAATGTATAATGTGCATATGGAATATGTACTTATACTAGGGCCTCAATTCTTGATCTACCTGGAGCTCACGGAGCCGTGTTTAGGCCGCAGATTGACTTGGCTTGTATGAAGAATAGAGTCTGGTGACAAAAATTCCGTTACTTTGATTGTCTAACAATTCTTCTGCCGAACAGTTCACTGCAACTGTATACATACATGTTGTACTCATATGTAAGTACAATTATGTATGTACATATAGTGTGTCCATGGGAGACGAAGACAAGACGAGGGGCCCCTCTCGCCGGTTTCCCAACCGGACAAATCATACATATACGATGCATAACAAGTAGCGGTAGCACATTCATGAAGAACATAGCGCGCGAAATTAATTACGAGAATATGAATGCAAATTTCAACTTTGTTCTTCAAATTTTTAAAAGTAAAAAAAAAATCTTTCTCGTAGCGCACTGATTGCGCCCGTCACAGTTGACAAGTACTGGGATGGCTGAATTAACAACATTTTGTAGATTCATAAACTAGAACGTATTATTTAAAATGTAGCTTACGGTTTTTCGAAAATTGTAATAATTGTAGAAATGATCGCCGTTTCGAGAATTTTACGAAGCGAAAAGTATGTGTTTGAGATGGAGCGCCAGACATACGGATGCGTGAAAAGAGTGAAACCACAAGCACAGTAAAGTGAGACAAGCTACATTGGTCGTCTGATGCCATTTCCTCTCTTTGTCTAGAACTGTGGGGGCAGCACCGTTTAGCTGTGAAGCATCAACCAATCAGAGAAGAAGCAGTTTCTTTACCTGCTTCGTAATTCTAAGCCTGTTGCCCCCGCATTGGCTTACTATGGTGAGGCACTATTGCATCAGAAGAGAAACTTCTAACAAAATTTTCAACTCTCATCTTTGTTTAAGTAGAAAATACTCGAATTTCAAAGATCGCGTTTTCTTTCAAAGAAGTATTTAAATGTACAAAGTTGTCGAGCTGTTTTCGTGATGAACTCTTGCAGCGTTTGCGTATTATGACATATGCACACAGATATGTATGTATGGTGCATATTGGAAAGTGGTTCTCAAAAACGCCGCAATTTCCTCTCTGGCGTGTTTGATAACCAAATAATTAAGTACATAAATATCGCGAGATGAAAACGTGGTGTGATAAAGCGTGAAATGATCAGGATACGAATTTGAAAACTGCCAGCTTTTAATACTGCTAGCTGACTATTCCGCGAGCATGTTAACTAAACAAGAGTCTGCGAGTGATAGCCTGTTGGAGAGGCTTGTCAAGAGTGATGAGAACAAGGTTAAGAAATGCCGGAGAAATAGTGCGGACAATATTGAAGGGCATAAATTACGACATGGGACGGATAGTTTTCCAGATATCAATGAGAGGCCGGTCGAAGACATCTCTATTGAATTCTTTTACAAACCTCATAGCATTACGCTGCTCCTGATCGCGATTGGCGCAGTAATATATTCAGCATTCACTAGGTAATTGAATATTAAATTTCACACGTTATCATTATGTAAATAAATTTAAATATCGATCGTTGTTTAATCCAGGAATACTACCAATGTCGAGGATAATATATGGGCTGGCATACTTTGCATTATATTTTTCTTCCTCATCATATCAATACTTACATTTCCAAATGGACCATTTACAAGGCCTCATCCAGTAGTTTGGAAACTTGTATTTGGTTGTAGCGTACTGTATCTGATGGGACTACTGTTTTTATTGTTTCAAGACTATGATACAGTTAGAAAAATTTTTGTATGGGTAGATCCTGCCTTGGCATCGTTTCATATTGACATGGACAAAGAATATGGAGTTAATTGTTCAGACATCACATTAGAGAAGATCTGGAATCACTTAGACATTTTTGCAGTGGCCCATTTCTTGGGCTGGACGTTCAAAGCTATATTGATTAGACATCTTGGTATTTTATGGGCCATCAGTGTTATGTGGGAAGTAACAGAGATAGCATTTGCCCACTTGTTACCAAACTTTGTGGAATGCTGGTGGGATGCTTTTATACTCGATGTTCTAGTCTGTAACGGTTTGGGTATCTGGGTAGGATTAAAGATATGCTCCCTCTTGGAAATGCGTGAGTACAAGTGGGTAAGCATTAGAGACATTGAGAGCACCACTGGAAAGTTGAAGAGAGCCATGTTACAGTTTACTCCTGGCAGCTGGACTGCTGTTAGATGGCTAGATCCAACTTGTACATACATGAGATTTGTTGCTCTCTGTCAGTTGGTTATTTTTTGGCAGGTGTCGGAACTCAATACATTCTTTTTGAAGCATGTATATGAGTTCCCTCCCTCTCATCCTTTTGTTGTGGCGAGATTGGTACTAGTTGGAGTTATTGTTGCACCGTCAGTTAGGTAGGCAAGAGTCATTTCACAGAGTTAGTATCAAGTATGCAGATATAAGTAAAACCGGAATTAAATAGAACTTTATTGGATTGTGCATTATTTTGAATGTTATTATGTAAATTGTAGGCAATACTACATGTATGTAACAGATCCAACATGCAGTAGAGTAGGAACCCAGTGTTGGGTGTACGGTGCAATTATGGTTACAGAAGCATTACTGTGTATACGGCATGGTGCCTCGTTATTCGAGCGCACTCAAGCATTAAACATACTGTTATGGCTACTTTGCCAATCTCTAGTCTCTGTTCTGTGTGTCTATGGCTGTGTTCTTTGGCATCAATACTTTGAGGTATGTGTTTTGCTTTCCTTGTTTCTCTTTTAGAGTGGCAGCATCGTTTATGTTGCATATCGTTTGTAACTAACTGTATGATTATTTGTGTTTTTTTTTATGCCTTTTGCATGGCTCTCGTCTATTTCAGACTGAAAAGAAAGCTACTACAAAACAGTCAGTTACCCAGCTAGGCAACAACCATGTGGACGTAATTCATAGCACTGGTATGTGTTGACGTCTACCACAGTCTTGAAGTGTGCATAACATTTCATGCTAAGCCGATAGTGTACTGAGCTATTGATTTATAATTAACAACTACTAAATATAAAACAAGAGTGTCACCCAAATATTCTAAAGTCTATTACATAATCATTGACGTGAACGGTATCAAAGCAGAAGGAATTGCGTCATGGATGTTTCTGTTTTGTGTCCTCGACATTGACAGAAGTAGCAATTTTTTATGAAGAACGTATAGTAAGTGTAATAATAAAATTTCCGTGTAAATGCAAGTGCATGCACAAATATATATCTTTTAGTTATGTTTATACTACCGAAATGAAAAGTATGTAATATGGTCACAGCTCAGTTCATCATTGGTCTAACAAACGCTAATTGCAACATTACACTCTCAGCAATTGTAATCTGTGTTCTAGGGGGTATGGTTCTTTCTGCAAAGCCTGTGGATGTATTGGAAAAGAAGCAATTGTGAACAAGTTCGCAACTCGAAACGAACGACTTAGGGTGAAGTGTTCACACTCACGAACATTCTAGTCGCATTATAAAAAAAAAAAAAAGAACGTATGGAAGAATATCTATAAAACCTCGTAGGCTACCGATGGATGTGTGAGCACGTCTGATATTCGCATATTGTGTCTGTTTGCCTGTGTGAATGTTGGCGAAAAAAGAACAAGAAAACAAACGTTGTTACCACTTAATATATCAGGCTTCCTTATATACATAAAGTTTGAGAAAGAAAAAAGAACAAAAAAAATACGTAATCAGTCGCTACGATAGTAGCTCATCTTCCGAGATATCTTCGTTAGTTTGAAGATACGGAAACACGTCGCAGCTAAAGCTTGGATTTATCCCCGAGCCATCCGGACAATTCCAAGCCTCGCCTAGGAGTCGATTGTTAGATGCGGACACAAAGATGCTTATGCGACTCGGTAACTTCTCGTCCTCGTACAATGATACATACGACGATGTAAGTGGTAGTTTCGAACAGTGCATCTGCAACCGATAGGCAAACGAAAATAATGACGAATGTCTTGATAATTGTAGATATAAATCGTAAATGCCATGATTTGTAATAAGAGTACCTGAGCATATGTGAGATAGAATAGCTGATCCAATTCAAGGTTAAGCCAGGGAAGATGAACTTCCTCGTGAGATCTCATACGATCCAAAGTGTCATAGGTTAATCTGAGTCCCATCGTCTCCGACAACCGTTCGTTTAGCGTCAATTGCGGGATCTGAGAGAGAGAGAGAGAGAGAGAGAGAGAGAGAGAGAGAGAGAGAGAAAGTATACCGGAGGAATAAAGAGGAACGCATTTCGTTAGTCTCGAAAGGATATTTTTCCAATAGCGAGGATTCTATAGAAGGAAAATGCATGCGGTCCTCACCGTGTAAGACACGTCCTGTTCGGTAGATAGCAACGTCATACTCAAAGGCTTCTCGTAAAGCTTATTCTTGTGGCAATCTATGTAATGCTCGAAGCTCGAGTTCGCAACTCTGCTCTCGAATACCGGAGTGTCGTTCTGCGATTCAGACTGATAGTATATACCTGTGGCAGAGAAAGTCACAGTTTCGTTGGACAATTAGATCCTTCATAGTTCCTCCAGATCCACCGTTCTGGATTTAGAATATTTTAGCGGCGTTATCTATATTATTATGTATCATAATTACCGTTTGCGTCGAAATAACGAGCTATCTGGTGCGCTATCGTATTGCCGATCGTCGCCATTTTAATGTAGTCTAACAACGTTTCGTTGTACTTGACGGACCAGTCGATCGCACCAAATGGTATCACGACGAGTTGCAGCTCGTAAATCACAAGCCCTTTAGATTGGAACGGCGTCGTGTAATATGTCCAACTGTACATTAAACCCCAGAATGTAAGATGAAACCTTGGAATGCTTCTCTACGCATGATGTAGTTTACATTTGTGAAACTTACATTTGTTCAGGACATCCCGGCTCGCAGTACAATTGCTCGTACATCCGCTCCCGGTACCTTTTCATCAAGGTGATGGAGTCGTTCAAGTAGTTGTCCGATAGAAGCATCTGCAAACAAGTCGCTGATTTATTAAGCCTACGAGATTCGAGCTAGAAGCCAGGCATAGGCACGGATTGCTCCGTGGGGCACTGCTCGGGCACCGTCGAAACTGAGAGCAACGAAATCATGCCCATTTAGAGCCCGCTACATTGCCTGCCGTCGCTATTTTGGCCCCGAATTACGCCACCGGAGGCAAACCATGACGAAAACGTGGCTCCTGTCTGTCTCGATTACCTCGTCCGCTTTCGTCGAACCGTAAAGCAAGTTGGTGTGATCGAAGTAAGAGATATTAGGTGCGACGACCGTCAGATTGTCAATCTTAGCGACCAAAATTTTCCGGTCTCCCTCGGAGGTCCATGTTGATTCGTTTATTTTTGCTTTCAGCGTCTCCTTTAGTTGGTTGAATAAACCCTGTATCTGTTAATTTGATACGATACCGAATATTAATCTCGAAGTAAGGAGCGGTCAACAGGGACATCCATCGTGCGATCGAATATTCCTGCTTCGAACGATTTTATTATTGGTGCATGTAGGCGAACTCTTACGGTGTCACTCATGTACAGAAGCTCGTCTTTCGAGAAAGTGGAGATGTAGAAACTCGAAGCTTCAGGGACCAGGAGATTGGCAGCAACGCGAAGACAATGGTCTTTTGGATCCGCGCGTTTCGGCACAATCAACTGTAACAAAGCGATCGCTTAATGTTTAAGGGTACGAAATTAATTGCAGAATTGCGATGTGTACCTGCTGGTAAATTGCTTGCGCATACAGCCCTAGCAAGGCGTTATTTAATTCCATCGGTTGTTCGGATCCAAATCGATCGAGATCCTCCAATCCTTTGGTCAAAGCATCGTAAAAGTAAACTTGCACGCGCACGTCTGTGCGAATTTCTTTCTCTTTGTCGCTTCCCGTTAGCAAGGCGAACAGCTTTAAGCAGTCTATCTACATATAAATAATATATAAGGAATATTGTTTTCCAAGAGGTTCGCAATTTAACGAAATTTAATCGACCGCTCAAAATACACACGCCATCTTTGCTGAAGCGGGAGACCGTCTCGAGCGACTACCGAACACTAGAATTCTCGAGCAATAAGGATAATGGTTTAGACAAATTTTTTAAAGACATCCTCGTAGATTCAATAATCGTAAAGTAAAGAATTGAAATTAATTTTAGTAGTTCTAGCGTTGGTTTCGTTTAGATTGAACACTTTACCTGCCCAGAAGCCTACCGACAAGCCTCCCGATAACTGTTCGAGCTTAACAATCTTAAAGTTTCTTAGCTTATGTTACTAGGGGTTACTCAGCTTCGAATTATAGACTTGTGATAAGCCGGTGGGTAACGTGTTAATTAAAGCCAACATTGTCTTACGATTTTCCACTTTGTTTGCAACTCGGCGATCGGAACGTTGTGATACTCTTTCAATAGATACGCCTCGCGAATTCGATTTTTGGATGGGAAATTCTGAAAAATATTTCGTGTTCATCTTGTTGCTAAACCATTCTTTCGAGATTTAGCCGTGAAAATAAACTACCCACCTCGAGGAATTTGTGCACGATTTCGGTATCGATGGCGTTGACCGTCTTTTCCACGTATTCGGAGATGCTACTCGCATTGTTCAACTCTTTGAACGCTCCGAGTGCCGACAAGGCGGTCCTGACGGAATTTAGAAGCTTCGTATTGTCCTGTCAAAGATAAAAGAGACTCGATTAATATATTATAATTTTCTAGCAGTAGCTAGAATTGCGAGAACTTCGAAAACTCAAACCTGAACTATATATATATATATATATATATATATACTTTTGTGTGCGCGCGTGTACACATGTATTAATAGAAACAGTATTTGCGTTCGTACTTGTACGTCCGTGCAGAGCCGAATCGAATTTCTATAAACTAAAAATTAGAAAGATATTTCGAAGTTTCTTTTCGGTGCTTTTACAATCTGTCGCTCTGGGGTGAGTTACTCTCGGCTTCCGATACACGGCGATTTTAGTACTTATAGTATTATGTATAAACAGAGATGGGTGGATCGTTGAGTTAACTCGATTTTATGGTAGTTACGATGCCTACAGCCGCTAAGTTTTTAAATTTTTGATTTTCTAGACCTAGATTCGATAAAAGTAGACGACAAATCGAAATGGACCGACGTGACGCCCCGTCTCTCGAGGTTTAAGCAAGGGTTGAATCTCCAGTAATTTTTAGTTATTCAGAACCGAATTAAATTCCGCTTGCAAGCGCTGAATTACCCGATAAAACGACGGATGCTCAATGAATGTTCTCGGTTTAGATCGGACAAATTTGACTTTTTAGTTCCATTGCCATCAATTTAGTATACATACCCGTTTTATGCACGTTTCGTATTCTTGGTACAGTTCTCTGAAATTAACAGTCTTTTGGTCCCGCTCGTACCGGGTCGCGTAACAAGGATTATCCTCGGTTTTCTCAAAGGGACTCTTGTACCTCGGAGGGCTTATCTTTATGGTCAGATGTTTCCTATTATGCTCTTCAAGCTCCGGGGTCACGTCGAACAATAACGCGCTGAAAAGACAAGAAAAAGTATACATAGTGCGATATTTTTCTACAGTCGTTGCTGTCCGATCCTCGCACCTATTATGTAATAATAGCTCTGCCACCAGTTTGGTGAAGTTCACGTCATCCTTATTGAAGTTGTCGGTAGTGTAAAACGTTCCAACACTGGCCAACACTTTTTCCGCTGTATACAAACGAAACAGATGTTGTACTATTCATTATTGTATGTACAATTAAATTAATATTGAAGTTAGAATCAAGAGAGTGATCGGACACCCTTCACGTACCCGCATCCATTTTCTCCTCCAAGGTCAGCGTCTCGTAGTTCATACAACTGTTATAGTATCTGCTGAACAGGGACGATTTACCTTCGCGGTTCTCTTGTTGCACTTGTCCTAATTAGAACACAAAGCATACGAATAAGCCAAGAAGAATTGGACGCGAACACGCTGTCTCTTTGAACCGGACCATTTTTTACGGAAGGTAAAACTTTTGGTCCCGGGCAAATGGTCATCTCGAGATCAAGCGTTAAAAAGTATATTTTTTTTTAATTTTAATTATGTGGACAAATATTTGTATATACTCAGTATACGGTTGTAAGCTGCGCTCTCTAAATCGTACTCCACAACGCGAGGATTCGCTTCGAAGCCGCCGCAAGCGTACTCGTAGAAGTCCTCGCATGGATCGACCGTGTGGTTCATGTAAAACAACATTTGGCTAGCTAGGACCTTGCATTCGCCCTGTGTGCACACATTCGGTTTGTCTTCATGTTGTCTTTTCCCATGGTCCGGAAGAACCGTCAGAGTACCGCTTGGCGTTGTAGTTCGAACGCCGTTGGTTGTAGTTTGGACGTCGTCGGCTGTCGTTTGAACGCCGTCGGTTGTAGTTTGAACACCGTCGGTTGTAGTTTGAACACCGTCGGTTGTAGTTTGAACGCCGTCGGTTGTAGTTTGAACGCCGTCGGTTGTAGTTTGAACGCCGTCGGTTGTAGTTTGAACACCGTCGGTCGTAGTTAAAACTGTAGCTTCTTCCTCGCTTCCGGTCGAAGATGCGGTAATGGTATTCGCAAGGGTTGTAGAGAGTGTCGTCTCCGTCGTAGTCGAAGACAACTTTTCGAAGAAAGTAGAAATTTCGACGGTCGACGAATCCTCGTTATTAGTTATCGATTCGGTAGTACTCGACGAGGATGTTGACGTGTCTTCGTCTTCGGTGACCGATTCGGTGGTAGTCGCTGAAAACGTTGACGTTTCCTTGTCATTGATTACCGAGGACGTCGTTCCTTCGTTATCAGTTTCGATGTCGGTAGTAGCTATCGATGGCGTTGACGTTTCTTTATTATTAGTTACTAATTCGATAGTAGCTATCGATGATCTTAATGTTTCGTCGTTACTTCCTAATTCGGTAGTCGCTATCGCAGTGCTTGTTGCACTTTCAAATATTTCAGTAATGAGCGATTTATCAGTCCAGTTTGTAACATTTATCGCAGTCGTGGTGGCTTTCGAAGTTGTTGCCTCCGCTTCGGTCGTTTCAGACGAAACGGTGGAATCGGTCGAATAATGTTTCGATGTTTCAGCCGTGTTCGTTGATTGGGTTGTGCGTTGAATATAACGGTGAAAGGCCTGTCGTATAATGAATTTTATTGTAAATTAAGCTTTTAATTTTACTTTTGATTCTAATTTTTATCGAATCGGGGGGTAAATGGTAAATGAATTACCCTTCGTGATATTCGAAGCAAGTAAACTTAAATCTTGACGCGGTCATCCGTTATAAAAACAATTGAATTCTATTAGCATGAAATATACGATTGTACATTTCAGCGCTTACCTCTACGGAGTTTGAATCTTCTTCGTCGTAACCGTGAGTCCTTTTCCATGGCAGAGTAGCGAGAATGAGTATGATACACAAGAAGAAGAATATTACCAACGTTAGGACACAACTTCTATAAGACTGATCTCGTTGCGCTACTTTGCCTTCCTCTCTGTTTGCGATTTCGTAGAATCCTCGCGATGGCATGTTTTCGATTATATTCGATCACGTTTCTTTGAATTTATTTAAATGAATTTTTCGTTTTCGTAAGAACTATAAAAGCGCAACTGGTAGTTCAAGTGCACGGAACTATCGTACGGTTGGGACTATAATAGAGACTAAAAGAAGTTAGTAAAGGAGGTGGCGATAGCGGTTGAACAAACCACTTCCTTTCGCAGTAATCTTGCAATTAGGATACCATAAGTACGATATCGCCCGTGTTTTGTATCGTACAAGGAAGTGTGTTGGATTGAAAAAAGTATTATGGAACTCCCGCGGTTTCTAGGCACGATGTATGAATTAACATTAAATGTTTATACAGGATGAGGCACCTGAATAACTTACTTGTTTGTAATAATAGAAAAAAAAAGTGTCAGGCAAACATTATTTCTCTTTTACATACAACCATAAATTCCAAACGACCTAAGGAGGGCTACATTAAAAATACTTAAGATAGATATAAGTTACTTATATTAATATATTTTATAATACAATTATCACAGATATGTAAACTACAAAATATTATATGCTATTATAAAATGCAACTTGCAGTTTGCCAATGATCCCATTGCACGTACTATGACGACTTATCTACCGTCTAGACTATTGTTATAATTTAAATACAATTAAAAAATATATTTAAAAACTCTATTCGCCTATCTGTTGTACCGAATATGTATCAATGTTGCGTTTGATTTCATTGTCCGCTGCATCAGATCTCATGTATGCCTCGATCGCTGAACCGATGTCTTTCGATACAGAATTACTCTCTATTTTTTTGGTACATGCTTCATCTTTGTAGTCTTCGGACTTTAACGTTTCGGAGGTAATCTGTAAACACGTAAGAAAATTAATGGAGCAAGTATCGGAGACAACATACAAGTTCAACGTACAAGTTCCATTACTTTTCTTTGTATATCGTCAGCCTTAAATTTCTCGAATTTCTCTTTGTCAGCGAGTCCGATTGCAGTCTTTGATGATGTTTGTCTCTTTGGAGTAGGTTTCCTTGGCTTGAATGATCCAAAAGCTTTTTTAGGTAACTGTGAACTCGTGTGCTTCTTGGATTCACTCGATTGATCGCAATGATGAGTCAGTAACTGTTCTTTAGTTTTAAATGCCTGCAAATGAAATTATGATTTAATGCACGAACTTTGTTACTTCGTTTCCATCTGGATTCGTCTGTCGAACGAGACACTCACGTGCGAACAAATTTCGCATTTCAAACTATGCTTGTTCATCTCGTGATGCTTTAGAGCCTGTGCCCGATGGAAATTGCGATTGCAGTGACTACAACTAAATCTTTTGATATTGCTGTGCGTCAGCAAGTGACGCTTCAATTTGTCGGGTCGCGAGAACTCGCTCATACAACCTAAGTACCCTCTGAACGGGCATTTTAACCTTTTGGTGAGATCATGGATCAGCATGTGGCGACCCAGACGATCCTTTCGTTTGAATCTGGCTGGACAATGCTGTTTATAGAAAAGGGGAAAAATTATTTTTACCAGCGTATACAATTTTACTACGCTCCTCGTTAGAATTCAGTGACTTACTGGACACAAAAACGGTGTCTCCTCGCTATGTATTAACTTATGATTGGCTAAGTATTGCTCAGTTTTAAAGGCCTTCCCGCAATCCTCGCAGGTAAACCCTGCGGACGAGGCGTGCGTTTTCAGGTGACGCCGCAGAAATCGTTCAATCAAGAAACTTTTACCGCATTGTAGACAGGCATAATCGTGCGTTGTTGTTTCCGTGTGATGCTGCAGAGCCTCCAGATTCGAGAACGAAGACTTGCAGACAGAGCAGCAGTAATACTTTTCTGTCGTCTTCTGCTTTTGGACGGAGTGGGCATACTGGTGGAGCCCAAGATCAGACAGAGTGTTGAACACTTCGGCGCAGATGTGGCAACGATATTCTGATCTCTTATGACTACGCGTATGCTCCAGAAAATCTTCCAATTCGGAAAACATCATGCTACAACTACTCTGCACGCATTTGTACACTTTCAGTGTTAGATGAGAGACTATAAGGTGGCCCTTTAGAGCTTTGTACGAATCAAATATTTCTTTACAAAACTGACAGTGATAGGTACGATCTATGCTTCCGTCCGGTGGTGCCTAACAATAGTTACAGACTAATAAGAAAGAAAAAAAAGATACAAGTATAACGTGTAGATTGCAAAAATTTGGCTACCGTGTTGACAATACCTCGGGGGGTAGGGAGTGTATCGCAGTGCCAGGCCACACTTTGTGGGATGACATGTGTTTCTTCACGTTGGATTTTTGTGCGAACGCACGTCCACATACTACGCACTGATATGGTTTCTCTCCCGTGTGAGAACGCTCGTGTTGTTGCCAATAAAATTTTTTCGCAAACTGCTTGTTACAATAACTACATTTGTACTGCAATGAGACGTTTTAATGCAAAGTAAACGAGTGACTGTTCGGTGTTAAACCATCTTGTGAATCTGCTGGAGTACATACTTTCAAATTTTGCATTTGATTATTAGAGGCTTCCAATTCTGACGACGGAGTTTCACTAGTTACCGACAAGTCGACTGTCTCTAAAGCATTAGCGGCTTGCTCCTGAGAGATATCACTTGGTAGAACTTGAGGTACTTCGTTCGAATCATCTTTCATAGGCTCATTGTCTGTTGGAATAGTAGAGTTCGCAAAAGTATCCAAACTTTCTGAACTCAATATAATTGGAACACTAAATGTGGAGTCTGTTGTAAAGTAGCTAGCACCCTCTTGGTCCATGCTGCAAATTATGAAAGTTACATCGTATAATTTGATTCTACATTTTAATTTGACGAGTCATTAGTGGCTAACCTAAAAAGCATGTCTGACTCTTCGAGTATAATTGGCTCACTGAGTTGATCATTTTGAACAAATGTTTCTTGTGGATTGTATTGTGATGAATCTTGGTTGTTGTTTTCCGGATGAACGGTCTGATTTTCATCGTTCACCAGAAACTGGCTCAAATCTATGGTTTCCTCCTGCGTTTTCTGATGAGTCCTTTTGTGCAGTACAAACATGTGCAAGGATGTGAACTGACTTTTGCATTTTCCGCACTGAAAGATATCTTCCTCATCCTGATCGATTGCTGAATAAAAAGTACAATAAAATCCCATTACGAATTCCCGGTAAAAAACTGCGATGAGGTAATAAATCGTTCATTAATAGGTTATCAAAGCTCGTTAAAAAAAATCTACCTGACTGCTCCATCTCAGTTATTAGAGTCTGGGACTCTAATAATGATTGTACGGAAGGACTGTCCAGCGACACGCCTGCAAAACATAAGAAAACGGCAGAGTTGAGCGGTTCGAGAGCAATATTAATTCTCTCTTGGAAAGAAAGATAAATATGTAGGCTACTTGTTGGTTAACCCCACCTATTTCTACGATAGAAAAGTATTACCTGTTAGAGCGTCGAAAATCGATTGCGCCATGTTATTTGATGATCTTAACGACTCATTTTAAACGATATCAACGATCGGGCCTCTCACGAGTCGTTCAACGGGAAGAAAACGAAGAAATTTCGAGTCGGAAACATACCGAGAATTTCTACGCCCTGGCAGCGTTGTTGCTGACCAGACCAGCGAATGATAATCGATACAACATATGTCGACTGCTTAGAACGATTCTAACCTAAGACTGAGACAAGTTGTACCGCACACACACAGCGCCACCGTCAAGATAGTGAATCAATTGGGAACTACGTATTAAATAGTTTATACCTCAACTTCTGGAAACCTTTTTGGGCGCTGCTCGCTCCGTTAACGAGAATACGAATAAAAATTGCATTGCTCTCATTGACAGACGATTCGATGCTAAGACAGGCTTCACTGTAGATTGGACGCATAGTATAATGGAGGGGATACAAACGCATCCTTAGAGAGGAAGAAAAATCTTGCAGGAGTGAGGTATATCCTACGCCATTACTGTACCACACGTATTTTGTAGCTTCGTGCAGCTTCGAGCGTTACAAACTGAAAACGTAGTTCTTAATAGAAAATCATAGAAAATCGCAGAAATGGCAACTGTTTTGCGTGTGAAACGTAGACACGATGACGAGCCGTTAAATGCATTGTTAATTGCGTGTAAACGAATAAAAACTTCTGATAATGAAGAAGCCGAAAAATCAGCGATTAATGATCCACTGACCACAGTGGTTAAATTCGCTGGAACTGTTAATAATCAGGTAATTTTTCCAAATAATTTATTAACATTCTTATGATTTATTTGAAACGATACAAATTTCGTATTTGAATATGTTTTAAATAGGAAAGCACCGCTATCAAACACTTAATTCAAACTTTTGGTAAAGAAGAGTTGGAAGCAACTTTCAAACAACATCCAGTAGATATCCTGTATAAAGCTCGAGAAAAGATGAAACAAGCATCGGCGGAGAGTCGTTACAAAATAATTAATTGTTTTCGATCTATGAATAGCGTTACGCTCGATGACAGTGAAAACAAGGTGACGACAGTAATAGATGTAGAAGATTCACTTTCGTGTGCCAATGCAAAAATACAAGCTACAGAGGTGGTGAGTGTTAATCTACTAATTCAAATTTCATTATTCTAATTCTGATTATTATCCGATGTTAATAATGTACCGTAGGACGATAGTTACGTATACGATTTGTACTATGGAAAAACCGAGGATAAAGTGTACATAGACGACGACGTATCTATACATCCATACGATCAGGAATTGATATTCGATAATTATAGAGATAATTATCCCGAAGCTGAGTGCGAATCGGATGATTCTAACTCCGAGTCAAACTGGAGGAACGATTATCCTGATTCCGATCATTCTGAAACATCGATCAACGAAAGTGATATGAGAGAGGCTATTATGGACATGAAATTGAACGATGATTCCGATACGTCTAGCGATATCGACTATGTTTACGCACTCGACGAGGCTGATGTAGAAACTCATGGCTACAAATATGCAAGGTACAAAGCAAAGTTAAAGGAAGAATTAGATGAAGATTGTTCTAGTTGTAGCGACAATAGCCAAGTATGTGCATACAATGAATCAATGGATGAATTTTGTTCCGATTCTGGTAGCGATTAATGGCAAATTCCTTGGGTAGATCTTAATACAAATTTACATTAGAAAGATACGAGATATAGTGTACATTAACCCTTTGCACTCGAAGCTATTTTAATTGTAAATATAAAATCATTTTTCTAACTTATAGTGTTTTTATGTTATACGACAAAATGCATTTTATGCATATGAAATTGACTCTTGGGAGTCACGCAACAATTACACTCCTAACAATTGTTTAAATCTAAACTTTGTTGATATAAAAATTATCTTAAAACGTGATGTAACAAATTTTAGTGGTGCCTCAGAGTCACCACTGGAGTGCAAAGGGTTAAGTATATATATATATGTCTTTTGTACAGTGTGAACACGAACAACAAAGCTGTGACTTCAGTATGATTATAATTTAGAATTATTTTCGTAAAAGTTCAATAATTTAAATCTTGTTTTACAATTAAAATTCATTATCAAATAGAACTTGTTCGATTCGAAATTATTTCTCCCATCGTGCAGAGGTAAGGGTCACAAAGGTCTAAAAATTGTATTTACGTCTATATATTTATTCTAAACGTATTCGTATATGTAGGTAGATCTGGCGTGTAAAATTCGTCTATCAAAACAAAAATTAACAAAAGTAAACCTGGCCATCGGATCGAGACAGAGGAAGGTGGTGTGTATAGGTATTTAGAAAAAGAATCGTGCTTCGTTCGTTCATCGACGATATATGGCATATCATAGTATATAACAAATCGATTTGGAAATATCGGATAAAGATATACACACGCTGAATAAAAGGATGTAGGTTCTTGCGATGCGTTATCAAATCATTTGTATTTATTTTTAATTGGAATATCGTGAGTCCCGCGTTCCTTTTGACAGCGATCGGCGAGAATACAGGGGACCGGTTGAACAACATAACAGTTACTTTTATAAAAGTATCCGCGAACGGTATACGCATTTATCTGGCTACGATAGTTGTACGAAATACGAAAAACAATTTTACATGTAACTGAGATTTTTGGAGATACCGTCGTGGCTCGACAACGATTATCTTGCTTTTCTCAACATCGTCGTGATTCTAGCTCGAGGAAGAAACACCGATGTCATCAACGAACTCGTTTATATATGATATGAATAGTACGCTGCGTATACGTGTAACACTGGCCTTAATTCTAATTTTTACATTTACGCGCTCGCAACGAGTCGTGTCCGCTTTTGTCCATCACAAGTAAGTACACGCGATGCATCGTTTTTTGATTGTGTGTGTGTGTGTGTGTGTGTGTGTGTGTGTGTGTGTGTGTCTGCAGAAAAGCAAATGCGTTGGCTGAAGGTCTCCAATTGTACAGCGATATACCCGAATTCCGCGACAGATTTTTCATTCCTGAAATCGTTATGGCAGTCTAATGGATACATTTCGACAACGTACTTACTCTCCCTTACTACTCCCCCTCCTCTCCGGTGTGTGTAATGAGCGCGATTTCACAGACATAGTAAGTTGCTTCCTTTTTTTTTTTATCCATATTAAATGTGATATTGCAACTTTTGAAAACGCGAACGTTTTCACAAGCTTGAGATTGGTATCATTCGGGATAATTGCTATCGTTCCGGTAATACTCTACTCATCTACTGTACAACATTTTACATTCATCTCTTATTATCCATAATTCCCTAGGTATGTCGATTAATTAGTTAGAGCTATGAGATTATTGAAGAATCATGAGATTGCACACCTTCGTAACAGCCGGCCGTAGCGCGTTTAAGACCAACTACTCGGAATCGCACGCCAGGTGTATCTAATTTGGCAGCCTCACTTTGGTATAACTTCGAACATCTCCTCCTCTCCGATTGCTCGTCCTCGTTCCAAAGCGTGTACCACCAAAAGAAGAACGCTGCCACGACCGTCTGACGGACGGCTGCCAAGGATCTCGGCTCGTCCTTGGCCCAGCCCTTCTGTTCACGCACACGTATGTACACGTCGGATGAATCAACTTATAAGTACAAACAATTCCCTGGATCAACAGAATTCACACATCGGTAGTCAACTAAAACGAATAGTCGATAATTCTATTATATAAACTGGCAACAATTAACGGACGCCTCGGATCACGAAAGTCCTTAAAGTACAGATGCTTCAGTCCTGCCACTCGGCGGTGGCGTGGCGTGGCTGCTCGAGTTGTTGTTGTTATTGTTGTTGTTGTTGTTGTTGCTCGCCTCGCCGGCGTGGCTCGAGCAGTAAAACTTCTTGTGCGCTAAGAACGTGCTCAGATAGTTGAAGCTGATGTCGCACGATCGACAGTATCTGGGCCCGCTCTTGTTGGGATCCAGGCTCTCTTCGGGCGGTGGCGTGTCCTCTCGTTCTTGCTTCACCTTGTTCGTCACCGTTGGCGGTGGCGGGGGTGGCGGAGGCTGGGGACTGCTCTTCCGCACCTCGGTCTTGCCGTTCACCTGCACTTCCGCGGGAACGTCTTCCGGCGTCGTGGCCGGAGCCGGTTCCGGTGTCGGCAGCACCGTTTCGTCGTCCAGTACGCACGTTATGTAATTCTCCTCCTGACAAAGCGATACGTTCGTTATTCTTCGAGACGTCTCTATGTCGGGTGTCGGTTGAGTCAAGGTCGTTTCTTACCTGCAGGTCGGTTCCTCGCTTCTCAAAGTGCATTTTTATATGCGTTCTCATGCCGCGCAACGTGTTACCCTTGTAGCGACAGATCGTGCATCTGAAAGCCTTCACACCCTGATGAGCGTCCATGTGACGCTGCGCAGCACCCGCCGTGGGACTCACCGCACCGCAGACGGGACATCTCCAACCTCCGGTTGTTCCACTGTTGCACGCGTGGGTGGATCCAGGCTCGACGACAGCCTATAGAAACACAGTTGTCAACGATCATCGGTTAAAAGGACAATTCGTGCGACTTTGATTCGATCGAAGGAGTTTGGGGGATAGAGGACACCGAGTATCGACCTTGCATTTGGTGCATCTCGAATGATGTTCCTGCGGTTCCGGCCTCTTGGGACAGTAGAACGCTTGATGGGCCACCAGGTTGTCCATGGAGGCGAACTTTATGCCGCAGGCTGCGCATATCAACTGGACCAAAGGGGGCGAAGGTGTGCCCGGTGGCGGTGGACTGTTGCCGACGGTCGTCTCCCTTGCTTGGCAGTAGTGTTTCTTGTGCGCGACGAAGTTCTCGTGACGGCAGAAAACGATGTTGCACTCCTTACACCTTTCGACCGGGGATTCGATTAAACAATTAGTCGAAGCGTTCCCAGCCTTCCGTCTTTGCTTCCACTCACCTGGAGACGCCTTGTTTGACAAGGACTCCGGGAACAGTGGGCGGAGGCAGCTCCGCTAATCTCAGAGCCAGCTCTGTCGGCGGGGGTGGTGGGACAGTGCCAACCGTTGTCGGAGTGGAAGCGATCGACCTTGCCCTGGGACTGCCGCTTCCTCTGGATCTCGGGCTGCCCGGCGGCGGAGGCAACGACGAGGGCGCGGGCGACACCCTGTTCTCCTTCTCGTCCTGGTGCGCCGGCGATTTCCGGACGCTGAGGTCCAGGGGAACCGAACCAGGTGGCGACGTGGACGACGCTACGACCGACGCTGGCGTCGTCGGCTTGTTCGCTGCTCTGAGAACCGGCGGAGGCTCCACCACGGTATTGGGCGCTGTCGCGGCGAGGCCTCTCGTCATCGGCTGAAGGTGACCTGCGAGCAACGGCCGATTACGCTAAACGGAACAACAACTCTACGACTCGAACGAAGCTATTCTGCGCGGAACGAACCATTTGGCAGGAGGAAGCAAGCGGTGTCGGGAGCAGGCAGGGTCGGCGCAGCCAGCACGCTAGCTCCCCGAAAAAGCGAGTACGGTACGATAAGGATGGGGTTGGTGGGCAGTGCCAGGCAGGGCTGCGGCGGCGGCGAGTCCCCGGGACTCGCGCTCGTCGGCGGCGACGCCTTCACCGACGAGGATGCCGCGCTGCTAGCCGGCGGCGTATCCTTCACCACGTGCCTGGTACTGCAATAGTGGGTCTTGTGGGCCCTGTAAGTCTTGAGCGAGCTGAACTTGATGTCGCAGTTTCTACAGTATCTCTCCGCTTCCTCGTTCAACGAGCCGTTCGCGGTGGTCGCGGCGCCTGCCGCCGGTGCGACCGCGGCAGCGGCCGCGGCCGCGGCAGCCGCAGCGGCGGCCGCTGCCGCGGCGACGGCGACGGTCGGGGCTGGTTGCACCGTGGATGGCGCCGGCGACGCCGCGTGCATTCTCATGTGTCTGTTCAGGGACACTTTCTTGTCCGCGCTGTAAGAGCAGTGCGGGCACGCGTACGCCTTTCTGACCTCGAACTTGCTCGTCTTCTCCTCGTCCTCGTCGTTCGTCGTTTCCTCTTCCAGTCGAGGACGATGCGCGCAGTAGAACGTGCGGTGAGCTTCGAGGGTGCTGGCCGAACTGAAACGGATGCCGCAGGGTGGACAGATCAGGGGCGCGGGCCTGGCTGGCTCCACCGTGATCGTCTCCTTGCCGTCCGTTGGCAGCACGAACAGCCGGCCCGAGGCGATCGCTGAAACGTTCGTCGGTTAACGTTTGGTCGGAAGGTCTACGACCGGTGTTTTATTTTCGATCGAGGACCGAACAAGGTCGTCGGAATTACCGTTCTGCAAGCCGGCGGGCAAAGGTGGGACAGGGTTTGGCGGCGAGGTATTCTCCGGTTTGACGGTGAGCGCGGCAACGGCGGCGGGTCGAAGCGCGGGATCCGTCGCCAGACTAGCATTGAGTCTCAGTCTTGGTGTTCCTTCGTCGTCGAGCTTCGGTTTCTTCTCCGAAGGCGGATCGTCCGCGTTCGATCGCCTCGAGGAGTCCTCGGAGTCTCTCCTGCAAACGGAGTCTCTCCGCCGGATCGAGGACGACGAGGACGACGCCGATCTCGGCTGACAATCCTCCTCCTTGACCACGACCATCGCCTCCTCGTCCGCGTCTTTGGGACTCGACTCTCGGGTCTGATCGGGCTTCGAGGTAGCATGTCGGTCTCTCAGGCTTCTGGTAACCTGTCGAAAATAACGGGACAATTAACGTCTCGCCTCGCCAACTTCGCCTAGGGTCTTACGATCGTTTTTCGTTACGGTTCGTCGGTCACCTCGATATCTTCGGTAAGACTAGCCAGCCGCTTTCGCGCGTCTTCGGAGAGCACGCTGAGCCTCAGTCTGATATCGTCGGCGGTCGAATTCGCGATCGAGACCGAGACCGAGGAAGGGTGGTTCAGTCTCGGCGGTGGCGGAAGGCTCGATTCTTCCTCGACGACCGGCGCGACCGGGCTGGAAACCGCCGATCCTCCGCCGTCCACGCCGCTGCTCACCGACGGTGTCCTCTCCGAGTCGCTCCATTCCTCGTCCTCCCCTGAAAAGAGCAAAACAGAATATCAGGCATCGGGCGAAAACGCCACCTCCCGTGCGATCTCGAAAGCATCCTACGTTTCTTCGCCGATCCCCAACGACTGTCCGAGGACTCTCGCGAAACGACCATAACGGACTCACGTGGTACTCGGCTCGGAACCGGAAGTCGGGGCGGCCGGAAGAAAGTACAAGGAAAAAAAGAGCTGGCACGCACGATCGACGACGCGTCCCTACGGCCGTTCGGCTCCCTAATGGTCGCTCGCCACGCCAGCCTTTGCGTACTCTCTGTTCCCTTCTCCCTGCCCTTGCCGCACACCTATCTCTCTCTATTCATCCATCTATCCCCCTACCCCCGGGCCACCCCACTCGTTCCGCACCCTTCGCACGCCTCGCGGCGGGGTCCCCACTCCGTACCGTTCGGCCGAGAGCGTCGCGTCGCGGCACGTCGGCTCGACGGACGAAGCGGCTGCCCCTCGCATCGAAATCTCGGCTAAAAGCCTCGGAAGATGACGGGGTTGCGCGCGGGGACCACGTATTCGCCCGTCCCTACCCCGTGAAACGGAACCGTTTTTCCCAGACCCGGTCCCAAAACACGACCGGCCGATCTCTGGCTCATCTAGCAGGATAGATCCTGTCGCCGGATACCCGAATGGATCGGATAGTCCATCTCCAGCCCCTATCTTCGCTCATCTACCCTCGGCGCCGAGGCGCGAACGATCGGCACGCCGGGGATTTTAAAGCGAATCCTTGTCGCAACGTTGGAACTTCGTCGAGGTGTACCGGGTGCTCGAGCATATCGAAATAGCGTCTACAGCGTGTCCCGTTTTAGTTGAGATTGCAACAAATCTCGTGGGCACGCGTCCTAAAGAAGAAGAACAAACCGACGGGACGCGCGTTCTTCGGCATTTCGAGCGTTGAACGGCGCTGCAAGCTTCTCCGACGCGTGGACGTTTTCAAGGATGTTTCAAGGTAATCTTGTTTTTTTTTTTATTTAAATCGCAAACCCATATTTTTTATTTCGGAATCATATTTCACGTACAAAAGAAAAAGGATACAAGGGTAAACTCGAAGAAACCGGCGAGAGACGTTCGGGAGCAGCGTTTCATCTTGGTCCCGATTGGCGCGACCGTCGACTCGCCTTGCCCTCTTATCTCCACCCTTCCAATAACACCGTTCTTTGTCTCCGCCCGCGGAACGTCACCGTCTCGCCAGCCAATGGAACCTGGCATCTGCTGCTCGGCAGGGTCGCCGGAATCGCGCTAACAAGGGAAAAGCGACGCGGTAACACGACCGGTTGCGGGCTAAAGGTATGTCGCGCGTCGAGTATCGCACCCGGTGGATAGACCGGGGAGTCTCGAGTCGCGTGCTATCGACGGATCTCTCTCGGCTCGAAAATATCCTGTTGCCGGGAGGCGTAACAGCATCTCGACACCTCCTCGAGCAGTATCGAATCCTCCCGGTTTCCGATCCCGAGGATATCCCGAGACGGCGAGAGACACCGGGGAGACGACACCCGGAGACACCGGCAGATATCGGGGATACAACGCCGAGACGAGCCATCCAGGTGGGTTGTCCTCGAAATCGAGACGACACGCGTATCGTTCGTCGAATTACCCGGATGCTTTAATTGCCTCCTTGGGCGAGGTTCGACGAGGTAGACGGAGTCTATCCGATCAGGAACCGACGGTGGACAGCGCGATGAGGAGGACGGAGAAGGATGCGAGATGCCGAAGAAGATTGGGCAAAGGGTTGCAGCGCACTTCTGGGCTATCCTGCGCTCGCATCAGCAGCTCGGTCGTGTTCCTTCTGGCTCTCTGTAAATAAGCGGTCATCGATGGATCGGCACCGGGCCTCGGCCCGGCCACCGCATCCTCGCGCCCTCTCATCCTCTTGTCTCCGTCCTCCTCGCCGTCCACCTCGCCTTTTTTACCCTCTTCGCCCCAACGACGTTCTTCGCTTTCCCAATACGCTATCTCTCCTTCGTCGTCTATTTCTTCGTTTGCTTGTTGCACCGTAGTTACGAGAACCCTCTCCGAGCATTCTTAATTGTACGCGCGTCGTACAAGAGCTACCTGGGATACGTCCGACCCCGGACTTGTCTCCCTAAGTGGCGATAATTGCCGGCGAAATTGCCGAACGATCGGGCCGAAGAGAGGCCCGATCGATGGGAACGGTTCGGTTCGGCCGTCGAACGATCGTAGACGATTTCGGACGATTTCTAGAATCGTTCTCCGCGTTGGTCGTGTCTCGACCGAAAGGCGGCCGAGAGTCCGAGGCGAGGGTGACGCGTCCGGACAACAACGCGGCCAGAGGAGAGCTCGCGAAGGTTCAAACGGGTTATCTTTATTACAAAGCGATTCGGGAATTCGGCCGGGAAACAACCGGAACAAGCTCGGCGACAAAGCGAAACGAAGCCGTAAGTGGCGAAAGAGCGACGCTTCCGAAGCCCGTTTCTCACGTGGTCGCAGCTGTTCGTTTCTCGCATAAAGCGGGGCCGAAGGTGTACACGGGCGCGGTATCGGTTCTGAGAAAGGCTTATCAGCCGGTGGATATGTTAATGGCGGCCGTGTTTCCCCCTGCCCCCTCTTCTTTTCGAGATATATTACACCCTCAGCACCCGGAGGTGGTTGGTGGCGGTTGTAGGTGGTTGTAGGCGAGTAAGGTGCAGCCCTCTCCCGATCGGGAAAGCTTGCATGCACGCGCAATTAAGAACGTTCCGACGCGACGCTGCCTGCGACAATAAAAGGCTGCCAGTCGGACCGTATAGATCGAAGGTCTCGTTAACGAGGCTCGCTGAACGTAATCGTTCGATATTTTCGGCAGAAGTTCTCGCGACGAAAACCGAGGCTTTTAAAAGGAACGCCGCTTTCCGTTCGAAAGCGTGGTCGACTCTTGCGAATCCCAAATTTCTCCAAACTTCGGACGCCGTTTATGAAATTTTCCGTCACCGCGACGAAGGTATTTGCGAGGTCAGAGTCCTCCGAAAGCCGAACTCCAGCTCCACCCTCTATACAGCAACGTCTCCCTAACTGATGCTCGGAAAAATGGACAATTTGGGAAGAGGAGATACGATTGTTCGAGCCTTGCGGCTCATTTTTATAGCTGTTGAGAATTCGTAACTATAAAAATGAACCGCAAGGCTCGAACAATCGTATCTCTTCTTCCCAAATTGTCCAGTTTTGTTTGACGATGTGTGCGTCGGTTAGGGAGACGTTACTGTAATCCGCCTTACCCTCCGGTGAACCACGGTGGTATCTTCGCGGACGAATTCTGCACCCCGGGACTATCCAGCTAGATCGATCGCGGCATTCCTGGAGTCGGTATCTTCGACGTTTTCACCTCGGTCGATCTATCGGGCCCCATCAGTGTCGAACCACTGTCCAAACAAGTCCCCCGCGGGGTTCGCCGATGGGGTCCGGCGGTCGGAGGGGAAGGACGAGTGCCGTCAACCGTCAAGAAAAGATTCCAGGGCGCGTTCGAAGTCGAGTGGCGGAACACCGGCCGAGAGCGAGAGATCGCCGAGCCGGGAGCAGCAGCGGGTGCGGGCGCGGGCGCGGGCGCGGGTGCGGGTGCGGGTGCGGGAGCAGGAGCGGGAGCGGGAGCACGAGCACGAGCACGAGGAAGCCGAGCTCTCGCGCGGCGTAGGAGCCGATGAGAAGGTTGCGACTTGAGCTCTCACTTAGCAGCCGCAGTGTCACGATCGGGACGGCTGCATTAGCATATCTCCACGATGCAGCGTGTAGAGCAGAGGGAAAAAGACCGGGGGGCTGCCGGCGGAAGAGCGACGAGGAGGGCGGAGGCGTGGCGAGACAAAGAGCGGCCGGGGCGACAGAAAGAGAAAAGCAAAGTGTTCATGGATGCATCGGTACGAGTGGCATGCATCTCTGGCATGGGTCGTGGCCCCGTGAAAAGAGGGCGCACACTACCATAATACGACTCTCTGCTCCGAGGCACACGAGACGACGCGGACGAAGAGCCGGAGGAAGAAGCAGAAGGAGCAGAAGAAGAAGAAGAAGAAGAAGAAGAAGAAGAGGAGCAGCAACACGGGAGAGGTCTTACTCGGACCTCGCCAGCTCTGCCTGCCTTTGCCCGCCTTGGCCTGCCTTTGCCTGCCTGTTTGCCTGCCTGTTACCTGTACGTCGCGTGTTTGCCTACTCGCGTCACGATCAGGATCCTATTTGCATAGCGCCGATGAAGCTGCTACCGTTGGGCTCGTTTTCCTGCCACCGGTGTACGCTCGGCTTCTGATCGCTACGCGCCCGGACGATGGCCGCAGGAAGCAGCCGGGTTCGTGCCACTGGCGCAGAACGGGCCTCGGGCCCGCCGTATTCCTGCGGGTCCCAGGATCGACGGGGACCTTCGATAAAAGAAGCGAAGTCGTTGTCTCGGATCGATGAGCGATGCTCGAAGTTGCCGGGAAGCTCTTGAAATCGTCGCTGTACGAACGGATCTTCGAAAAAGCCGAACGAAGCTGGACGCCGTTGCATTTCTAGACGACCACGGTCCAAGATTTCGCGTTAGAAGCTGTCGAGAAGCTCCCGGGATCTCCGTTGGGTGGTCGGGAGTCGACGAAAACGGCTGGTATCGCTGTAGCGTGACATCGGTTCCCCAAAATGGCGGAACAGTTTCGAGCTTTGGGCCAGAGGATGCGGCGGAAGGAAGCTGCGACGAACGGCAGTTACGCGATCTTCGTCGGACGTTGCTTAGAAGCTCCGGCGAACGACGCAGCTCGATTAAAAAATTGACTCGGGCAAGGAACGTCTCGCAACGAAGTACGCGCGAGTGGAACATCTCGCAACTCGAGACCCCTCGGTTCCGCTCGGAGGTTCTTAGTTTCATCGGAGAATACGTACTAGTCGCCCAGGATCGACGAGAAGCGGTCGAAGAATGCGCTTGACGGACGTGGATCGCGCGATGTAGTACACATTGGCCACAATTTACCGAACGTCGTTCGTTCATGTCCCGATTCAATTAAACGTCGATGCAATCGATCAATTCAATTCG